AATAAAATAAAAATTTTAAAAAAAAGAAACTATGATGGCAAAGTGGCTTATAAAGCTTTTTGTTACCAACCAAAAAGTCCGAAGGTACAATTATATGAGAACTTAACATCAGAGGCACTTGATATGGATAAATTGAACAGTTGACTCCATTTTAAAGTCTTAATATGATTGTAAACTCTATGCTAAACTTTAAAATTTCCCCTTCTTAATAACAGCTTCTATAATCTTGATATTAACCTAGCTTTGGTGACTGCTTAATCATAATGGAGTTAAAGGTTTACTGTTTAAAATTACTTTCCTAGCCATTGAGTTTGTTTGTGCCATGTGGATTAGAGGGAATATGTGTTAGCCTATCCACACGCAGACTGGCTAGTCTTGCCACTAAACTGAGCAGGCATATTTGGAGTGGGCACATAGTGCACACCTTTCAGGCCAGATGTTCTTACACTGCTAGACCTGCAGCAGAAGCAGCTGCAGCAACAGCAAAGAACCAGAGACCTGACATGAAATGGAGCCACCCTTAGGACTGCTGACCCATGGAACCAGAGCTAAGAACCTTTTGCCCAAGTTTTTTGGAGGATTATGGGACAGAAACATCACTGACAGGATGAAAGGCTTTGTAACACTTGCCAAAAGCTGTGAGGCTGAGGTGTTTGTGAGTGCTTTTCAGAAGCTGTCCTGGCTGAGTGATTGTATCTGCTTCCTTTTGACTTCCCTATGGCTCTGGGTAGCCTTTGAGCTATCACAACAGATTTCAGACCCAGTAAAGTCATAAGATTGGTGTAGAGACGAGTAGAAAGAGGTGCTGGAGCATGTCAGACCTCCTGGGAGTTGGCTTTATGACGTGGGTACTATTGACAGAGACAGTTTCCCATTGTGGATTTAGTAGAGGTCATCTATGGTTGTTTCAACACTGCTCTTGCCCTTTTTTACAACCATATACCATAAAAGAGACATTGTCTCTAAGATTTGCGGGGTGAAGGATATCTTAATCTTGTCTCAAAAGGTTTTTCCACTAGGGTCATGAAGATACAGGATTTGATAACTTATACTTGTAGTGTGGGG